AACCAGCAGATGGAAGATCTCTCTCTCTGCCTCTGCCTCTCTGTACCTCTGCCTTTCAAATAAATATTTTGAAGAAAAAAAGAGCCTACATACAAGCATCCTGAACTCTGGCTGCAGCTATATGGGCTGCCGTCCGACCTCTTATTGTTCCTTGTGTGATATCAGCTCCACGTCAGAGTTTGCTCCAGCTCTGGACTCTAATGTTGGGAGCCACTGTGCTGGTTTCCCTGTGTAGGCCTCTATTTAGATTAACCTTCAACTACAAATCACTAGAAAGCTCCGTTTGTACAGACCACTGATATGGTTGGCGCTTGGCCGTCTGGCTTCAGTGCCCTCTGACCTCACGACCTCTTGTATCTTGATAAGCGTATTTGGTGGCTGTAAAACCCCACGGTAACTCCCCTTGTCAAACTGATGTTGATCTAAAACTCCTGTAAAACCATTCCTACAAACTATATTGTAAAATGACCTCTGCTTGCTCTCGACTGCCACAATCCTTGACTTGTACTAAATAAGCTGCCTCCTTCTCCAATAAAGTAGGACCTTGATCAGAATACTGTCTTGGTCTCCCTTCTCATGTCTGGTTTGTCTCTCCATTCAGGCCTGCCCTCCTCGTGTCCTAGTTAATTACCCCATGGGCCGGGGCACTCTAACTTCCTCCCACTGTAGACTGAGGATGCAGCAGCGATGGTTGAAGGATTCAAGGAATGAACCAGTGGTGAGCACACTTGCTCACTCTCTCTTTCTCAAATTTTAATATGTTTTAATTTAGATTTTTCCTGAAATTTATATACAAAGTGTACAAGAATCAATTCTATTTCACATACCCAAACCCTGTGAACCCTCTGCACACTCCTACATTCCAACACCAGGGCTGGGCTTTCAGCCACTGCAGTCACTCTGAGCCACCTGCACAGCACTCACTCTCTCCCTCACCTCCCCTCTCTTCCCCACATGTTCTTTTCTCCCACAATTTGCTTGCCATCCTTTCTCTAGGTAACAATTTCTGCTTTTCTAAGTTTATATTTTTTCAGTCTTCATGGATTGCCCCAAAAAAGCAAACAAGGGCCTTGAGCTGTTAATGAATACAGAATTCTCCTAAAATGTGAAAAAAATGGTAGTAGACCATCACATATTTGTTGCTCTTGTAGGAAAAAAAAAAACTATTTAGGGGCAGGAATTTGACCTTCCAGTGAAGACACGGGTTAAGATGTCTGAATTTGATGTCAGAGGCCTGGATTTGATTCCCAGCCCCAGCTCCTAATTCCAGCTCTGGCCAAGGCACACCTTGGAAACAGTAAATAATGCATCTAGTTGGGTCCCTACCAACCATGTCGGGGATCTAGATTGGATTCCCAGCTCCTCCTGGATTTGGCTCCAGCTCACTTAAAAAGAATCCTGGCCATTGCAGATATTTGGGAATAGAACAGCCAATGGGAGTGTTTCTCTCTCTCTCTCTCTCTCTCTCTCTCTCTCTCTCTCTCTCTCTCTCCCTCCCTTCATCCTTCTATCCATCCATCCCACACTCCCTCCTATTCAAATTAACATACATTTTAAAAAGAGGGGTAGGCATGTACAAGCCTCAGACTCCAGCTTCTTGCCAATGGAGAACCTGAGAGGCAGCACTGAGGGGTTGCGTTTCTGACATGCATGTGGGAGGTCCAGGCTGAGGTCTAGATCTTGGCCTTGCCATAGCCATGGCTGTTGCTAGCAGATAGGGAGTGAACTAGGAGATGGGATATCTGTCATTCTTGCTGTTGCTCTCACTCTCTGCATGTCAAAAACATTTTAAGCTTTTCTGATCTCAGAGTACCGAAATGTTGCATACAGTGTCAGGAATATCAGAGACATCAACCCACAAATCCATCCACAAACATCCCAGAGCCTCTGTTCCCAAATTTAGAACATTTACTCAGAGTAACTAATTCCTCAGCAACCACTGATATTAGAGGAAGAAACCCAGGCTGGACAGCGGTCAGAGCACGAAGAAGCAGAGAAGACCACATTCCAGGGCCAGGAAGACCAAAGTAGGCCTTAAAGGGAGGATTTGGGGGTAAGAAGAACACAGATCCCATGTCCCTCTTAATATAATCTGAGTCCTGAGCAGTGAAACGTGGTCCCCAGGGTCATCTGGAGACCAGCGCTTCCTGATCTACACAGTCTTTCCCTGGCTCCAGGCTCTCCTCACACCTGGCTCACCGTAATGAGAAGGATCAGCTGAACAAGGGTTTTAAGAAGGAGTTTCTGCGGCCAGCATTGTGGCACAGTGGGTTACTGCCCTGGCCTGAAGCGCCAGCATCCCATATGGGTACCAGTTCTAGTCCCGGCTACCCCGCTTCTGATCCAGCTCTCTGCTGTGGCCTAGGAAAGCAGTAGAAGGTGGACCAAGTTTAGGCCCCTGTACCTGCCTAGAAGCCCCGGAAGAAGATCCTGGCTTCAGATCAGCGAATCTCCGGCCAATTGGGAGTGAACCATAAGATGGAAGACGTCTCTCTCTCTGCCTCTCCTACCTCTGTGTAACTCTGACTTTCAAGTAATTAAATAAATATTTTTTTTTTGACAGGCAGAGTGGACAGTGAGAGAGAGAGACAGAGAGAAAGGTCTTCCTTTTGCCGTTGGTTCACCCTCCAATGGCCGCCACGGCTGGCGCGCTGCGGCCGGCGCACCGCGCTGATCCTATGGCAGGAGCCAGGAGCCAGGTGCTTTTCCTGGTCTCCCATGGGGTGCAGGGCCCAAGCACCTGGGCCATCCTCCACTGCACTCCCTGGCCACAGCAGAGAGCTGGCCTGGAAGAGGGGCAACCAGGACTAGAACCTGGTGTGCCGGCGCCGCTAGGCGGAGGATTAGCCTAGTGAGCCGCGGCGCCGGCCTAAATAAATCTTATAAAAAAAAGAATATATGTAGAACTATAAAGTTCCTCCCTCTCAATAAAAAAAAAAAAAAAAAAAAAAGATGTTGCTAACCTTAATCATGACCTGCAGTTGACAAAGGGCCCAGAATGGAAGCAGAGTTGTGGTCCCATGGAGGAGTCCCTGCTCTCTTCCTTTGCAGGCCACATTGGTGACAAGGAGAGCAGGATGCCCAGCCCATCTGGAGTTGAGTCCACAGGTAGAGAAGGGGCAGGGCAGAGGCAGGGCAGGGAGGCAGAGGAGCCATCAGGTCACTTACCAGCATACAGCTGCGCCTTCCTCCAGGCTGAAAGGAAACACACCCTGGTGAGACCACAGCCACACCACCTGCTCAGCCCTCCCTGCCCTCTGTGCTGAAGGTCAGACTCTGCAGGAGGAGAGAGGCTGCACAGGAGGGGCCTCCTGCAGGTGCAGACAGCAGAGGATTGTGGGAAACTCCCTGACCACAGATCAGGAAGCCTGCAGGACAGCTGAGTTACACCCCTGCCCCACTGCTGGTGACTTTAGGCTGTCAGCTCTCTGCCCTATGCCTCAAAACCCACAAAGACTCCTGTGTCACTGGCTCTTCAGTGCTGTCAGGATAAAAATATACCATGTGAAGATATTTAGTGAAAAAATGGAGCCAGCATTATGGCGTAGCATGTAAAACTTCTGCCTGCAATTTGGCATCAGTATCAGGCCAAGTTCAAGTCTCAACTGCACCTCTTCTTATCCAGCTTCCTGCTTATGATCCTGGAAAGCAGTAGAAGACAGTCCAAGTGCTTGGGCCCCTGCACCCACGTGGGAGACCTGGAGAAACTCCTGGCTTCTGGCTTCAGACTGGCCCAGCACTGGCCATTGTGGCCATTTGGGGAGTGAACCAGTGAATAGAAGATCTCTCTCTCTCGCTGTCTCCGTTTCAAAAAATAAAATGAACACTTTTTAAAAACCACAAAATACTCTAAATCAACAATTATTGTATAATATTTGTATTACATAATACAATATATAATGATTAATAAATATATAATAAATATAATAATATTGTATAATATAATGTATAACAATTATTGTGTAATAATTCCTGGTTTGGTATATTGGAAAAATTAAAGGAAAAGAGGATACAACATGGATATGAGACCCCTTTCAGGGTCAAAGGGACCAAATATTCTCTGTAAAATACTGCTAGAGAAGCGCAACTGTGCTGAGAATCGTTCAGCTCATCCCATCAACCACCACACCTGGTCAGCAGTGCAGTCCTCTCCCTATCACTTTTCCCTGGAACCTTGGAGGAACAGGTGAGCAGCAGCTCCCACTGGATGGTGTTTTGGTAGAAAGGGGACAGAGATGGCACCCCATGCTCAGTGACCCCATTTACTCATCTCTGGTTTCCTGGTACAGACCAAGAGCTAGAGCACTGGAGGCTGACACACTAGCAGTACTCATATGGGGACAGCTCAGGGTAGAAAAAGACCCAGGATGCAGGGCAGACTCCATGGCCATCACTGCACACAGGTCTTGGAGCATGAACAGGGAACAGCACCCAGATGTGACAGAGCAAGAAAGCAGGCCTCCGCCACCCACCAACTGCCAATGCTGCCTCAGGGAATGGGGTCCACATGTCTGTGCCAGGACAGAAAAAAGGAGACAGGACAGCTGGACACAGGTGGGACAGGAGACCAGGGGGCATCTGGAGAGTCACTCACCAGCCAGGTAAGCTGTCTTCCTCTAACCTGAAAAGCAGCACACAGGGAACAGGTGAGCTGAGACCCCGAGCTTCCCCCACAAAGGGACAGGAAGAGTTCAGGAAGGGGAGCAGAGCTTACCAAGATCTGCCTGGAGCTCATCTGAAAGAGAGAGAAGCATCATGAACTTCCATCCATAAGAAAAGGAGAGACCGTGAGCCTGGAGAACCCACAGGAAAGACCTCATCCATATCCTAGAGAAGTTCTTACTCCAGACCCACGCACAGCTCCAGCCTCCAGCTGTCCTGTCTGGGTCTCCACAGCCACCTGTTCTGGAGAGCAGAACCCACAGACTCATCTCCCAGCATCCTTCCTCTCAGCACCAGCTGCCCCACCTGCCTGGCCCCTGGCCCCCTAACTCTGGCCTTCAGTACCTCCTCCTCTGCCCGCTGGTCTCCTCCTTAACCCGGCGCAGCTTCTGCTCTTTCTGCCTCTCCCGCACCTTTGCAGAGTGCTCTCTCCTGGTGAAGCAGCCAGCCCCAAAGAGCAGGAGCCCCAGCACCGTCAGGCTCCCAGCAAAAGCTGCCTTCCAGGGAGAGGCCTGTGGGAAGAAGGGCTCTGGGGCCCAGGGGGAGACCCAGTCAGGGGAGCTTCCAGGACCACCCTGCACACTCAGGGATGCCAGCAACACCTCCAACCCTGCCAGGAATGAGAAGCAGCACCGACCTGGGATGGACACGGCCATCGCCTTCTCCTGGCCCAGGATGGGATTGAGGACAGAGCAGCTCACACTCCCTGCAGAGCTGTCTCGCACCACCAGAGCCGCCTCCACGCTGAACAGCCCTGCTGCGTCCTGGGCATGGGCCTCAGAGAACTCCAGGAACTTCTTCCCGCAGACGTCTGTCCACTGCACCTGGGGCTTCGGGAACCAGCCCGAGGCCTTGCACACCACGCGGACCCCGTCCTGCTCCAGCCCTTCAATGTGCACTTGAGGGGCAGAGCCCAGGCCTGCAAGAGGGGAGTTGTGGAGACCTTGGAGACCACTTGGCCCAGGGCCTCAGCAGGGTCTGGGTGTGGCACAGCCACAGGGGAGTCAGTGTTCCATTCTGGAGATTCCATGGGAGGGCTTGGCTTGAAGGAGGGGAAAGAGCCCTGGGATCCATGGGGGCACAGAGTAGGGGGCTTTCTCCTCAACTATGCAGCTGGGAAGACTGAGGCCAGAGAAACCAGGAGCAGGAACTTCACCCCAGGACTCCATCCTGAACCTCTAATCTCCTCACCTTACTCACTCCTGGGGCACCTGCTATGATTCCCCCTGCCTCTCTCTGTAAATCCCTTCCAATACTGCACCAGTTAACAACCCTGTCCCCACTCCTTCCCTCATAGCCACACCCTGAGTTATCTCTGCCAAGTTTCCTTACAGACACTGAAACTCAAAATTGCAGAACTTAGTACACTATGTTGAGCCGTATGTGATAAACTGATTACTAAAATGCCCCCTTTACTTTGCCTACTTTTGTATAGATCTAGCCCTCTACCACACAGTCTGAGGTTCTCTCACATTTGCACTTTGAAGTTGGTCATGTGACCCAATTTGGGCAATGTGACTGAAGCAGAGGCTTGGAAAGCACATGTGCTCTGTGGGCGTTTGGAGGGGTGAACCAGCAGATGTAAGATCTCTGTCTCTATAACTCTCTGATGTTCTGCCTTTCATTAAGTTAAAATGAATAAATAAAACTTTTTAAAAATGTTACACATGTCACGTCTGATTGCCTAAAAAACAAAAAGGAGATGAGACGTCATCTGTCTTTGCAATCCCTAAGTGGATGTCCTGTGTGTGCACCACGTCCTGGGTTAGTGCTCACTCAGCAATGGAACAGCTGTGTTTCCCTACTATCTTTGCAAACAGGATTTCTGGGAGAAGACTTTGGCATTGATTTTATTTCACAACCACACCAAAGATGTCTGAGTAAATCCAATTGACACAGAAGGGGCTCCATAAACAAGATTTATAATGAGGGGCCACACTGTGGTCTAGCAGGTAAACTGCTGCCTGCATTGCTAGCATCCCATAAGGGCACCAGTTCGAGTCCCTGCTGTTCCACTTCCAATCTAGCTCCCTGCTAATGTGCCTGAGAAAGAAGAGGAGCATGGCCCAAGTGCTGCAAGCAGAGAATTAACCTACAGTACCACAGTGCCAGCCCCAACAAATAAATCTTTAAGAAAAGATTTATTTTGAAAAAAAGAATGAGTGAGTGAGCCATCTTTCCCTCACATATAAAATGAGATGTTTAATTATGTGAGTTTCCAATACTTCCAAGGTATAGATGTAGAATACAGATCAAGCCACCAACCTGCTTCCTGCAGTTCTAGAATGGCTTCTGCATAGCGGCCTCCCTTCTGGAAGAAGCAGGTGCAGCTCCCATTGTCTGAAGCCCAGACTTTCTGGATGTGCACAGCAGCCTTCCTGTGGGTTAAGAAATCCCTCACCAGTGACATCCAACCTGCGTACTGGGGCATTTGTTCCTCGTGATCCACCCGGCTGTTCCAATAGACAAACCCCACCTCTGAGAACTTGGTACAGAACCACCGCAGCTCCGTGTCCTCTGTGTTCATGGCTGGGACCAGGGAGCAGGGCAGGATGGCGTCACCACCCAACTCTGCCACAATGGGATCTGAGGGGCCGATCACCTGGAACTCATCTGTGGACACAGAATAAACTGAGAACACTGGAGAGACTCAGGCAGGGGGCAGAGACACATCTGTTGTGGTCATGGAACAGCTCCTAATGCACAGTCGACATTCTGTTAATACTTGGGCAGGAACTAAATGAACAAATGAATGCACAGAACACCAAAAAAGAGGGGAGCCAAAAGTGAGGGGAGAGGTATTTTCAAATTACTGACACTTGACATTAAAGCAGGCCCCAAATCCTTAAACAACAGTCAATTCTCTAACACCCACTGATGGCTGAGTGACTCATCCTAACTTCTTAATGACAACCAGTGGTTGGGGCAGCACTACCACCTTTCTAGAGCCTTGGTCTTGGGCAACCTAATCCTGTCCTGATCGAGACGGCTGGGGGCTCCTCCCACCCCAGAAGAAGACCCAGGACGAGTCAGGGACAGACTCACCTGCAGAGCCCCATGTGGGCAGCTGGGCGAGGAGAAGCAGGGAGGGGAGACTGCAGAGCAGAGAGGGGCGGCAGCCGTGCTCCATGTCCTCAGAGCTGGGGAGAGAGGTAGGGAAAGAGGAGGTCTGGGCCAGCAGACTGGAGGTGGGAGGTGGGTCCAGCCCAGAGTGCCAGCTGCTAGGTGGGAGCAGAAGGCCCAGCCTGCCCTGCCAGCCCTAAGGAATCACCAAGCCAGTAGGTGGGGGCCACAGGATCCTGACAGCAACAAACGTGGGGTTAGCTGCACCCAGCCTTTCTGGGAAGACTCTGGAGCCTGGGAACTGTTAAGATAGCTGGGGAGAAACAACGACTTCTATTCCCACCACAATTGAGGCCCCTCTGCCTAGAACCCAGGCCTTTCCTTTCTCAGCCCCAGGAGCCCATGGAGGAAACCAGGCCTGCATCTCTCCACTCTTCACACAGCACCTGGGATCCCCACCCCACCCCCACCAGGACAGAAGCCCAGACAGGCTGCTCACCATGAAGGATGCACTCACCGCCTGCTGCTTTCCTGCTGCTCTGTAGCTCCTGGCTGTGACCTGGGTGAGTCCTGAGAAACGTCAGAGACAGACCCATCCTGATGAGACTGTGCTGCCCATCCCAGGGACCCAGACCTTGTGGCATCTGTGGCTGTGGAATTCACCAAAATTTGACCCCGCACCCCAGCCTCTTACTCCAGGGCCCAGGTCCTGGCCCTGCGTTCAGCAGGTGCCCGGGGCAGTTCCTGCTGACAGGTGAATCCTTGCTCTCTCCACATTCAGTGATTTCTGCACTAACAGTTAAGGGCCCTGGTGAGAGGCAGCGCCACAGAGAAGAGAAAATACATGGTCCCTGGTCAGAAAAATGATCCCCACACCACCCTCTGGTTGTGGGCAGGAAGAGGAGGCAGGCTTTCCTCCTGGGAAGAACAGGCTCAGGGCCCCCCCGCCCGGGGTGCTCCCTGCAGGCTCAGCCAGGCTAGGTCACAGCTGAAGGCAGAGCCCTGGAGTTTCTGGGCCTCAGTTCCCTCATCTGCAAATGTGACAGCATCTTTCTCCCAAGATTGCAGGGAGAGGTTCCTGACTCTGTGTCAGCACAGTCACTAATGCAGTCAGAACACAGCCTGGCCTGGAGCACATTTGAGAAACGGAAACCAAAGAAATGAACAGGGGACCAGTGTTGTGGCGTAGCAGGTAAAGCTCCTGCCTACAGTGCTGGCATCCCATATGGGCACCAGCTGGATCTCAGCTGCTCCACTTCCAATTTAGCTCCCTGCTAATGTACCTGGGAATATAGTACATAGCCCAAGTCCTTGGGCCCCTGCACCTGGGAGACCCAGAAGAAGCTCTTGTCTCCTGGTTCGGATCAGCCCAGCTCCAACTGTTGCAGCCATTTGGGAAGTGAAACAGCAGATGGGATACGCCCCCCCCCCCAAAAAAAAAAAAAAAAAAACCCTCTCTCTCTCCCCCTCTCTGCAACTCTGCCGTTCAAATAAATAAATAAATCTTAAAAAAAAAAAACACAGAACAGACATTGAAACAGACACATAAACCAATGCAACTGAAAAGAAAGCCTAGAAATAAATTCACATCTTTAAAAAAATAATAAAAAAAAGAAATGAACACAGGCTCAGTGCTCACTAACCTTGTCCTGGTTCTTCCTGCATTGAGACTTCTCCAGCCACTCCACCCCCCTGCCCTGAGCCCCACCACACTCTCAGCTCCTCCCTCCTCCCTGCTCCCTGCTTCCCTCTTCCTCACCCACAGGTGTTTCACAGCCAGCTCACCTGCTCCCCTGTGCTTCTGGCTGTGACTTCCTCCAACTTCTTCTCTAAATTCAGCAGCTCCAGAAGCTTCAGAGCCCCAGCAATTGGTAAATCCACCCCCTTGGCTTGCACCTGCCCTGAGCTGCCCTCAAAGCCTCAACCCCTGCTTCCAGGTCCATGCTGGGGGCCCAGGATTCTGAATCCAAAGGAGGCAGTGGGCTCCCAGGAGACCGGAGGAGCAGCAGAGCTGGCACAGTGTAGCAGCCTCTGCAGAGGCCCTGGAGACCCACCAGCCCCTGCGTCTCCTTCCACCATCTACAGTGAAAGCTTGAAGAAGCAGCCTGGGCAGGGAGTGCCCTGCCCTGTGGACCTCCCTCCCTGTTGTCAGCAGGAGACAGCACCACAGCTGCCCTGGGAGTGGCTGCAGCACAACCTGCTTAGAGCTCACAGTGCCTTCAGCCCCTCCCCCTCAGCCACCACCTGCCCCTGCCCAGCACCCAGACTTCCCCAGGCCCAGAGATGCCAGGAACTTTCAGGAAATCTCAGAAGAAACTAAATTTCAGTCCATGACTATTTAGTGTCAGGATCTGAGCTACACACAGTAGATTCCTGCAGCTCCTGTCACAGCTGGGAGCAGATGCAGGAGGACAGGAGCCCTGCACCTCCTGACACCAGGAACTTCCTAGGGGAGGGATGGCCTGGAGCTGCAGGGAGACTCCCTCCCATAACCTCTTCCTCACCCCAGCCCCTACCCCCTTCCCTCCCATTCCCCCAGCCTCAAACCTGCCCTCACCCCGGCCCCAGATGCAGACAACTCAGAGTGAGAAAGAGCTGCTAAGGGCCTTAGACTCTCAGGTGCCCCTGTTAGGTAGGAAGTCAGTTATGAGCTTATGTGTGTGTGACATAAAGGCCTAAAGAGAAGACATCTATGTCCAGCATATGCTGCATCTCAAAGTCATCCTGATGGTGTTTCAGGGGCAGCCCAGTATTCACATCCTGCCCTGCCCTGCCCCCTTCTATCTGATAACCTGCCAGGTGCAGCCCAGTATCTGCATCTCAAACATCCTGCTCCCTTCCTCCTGTCTGATAACATTTGCATCCATAAAGTCCTTTGTTTCAGACCTTCCAGAGAGAAGTTTTTCTATTTACATCCAGAAAACCTTTGTTCCAAGAGGAGCAGAGGTGGGGAAAGCAAGACCCATCTCCTTAAAAACCCCCAGCCTCCACCGGACTGTCGCTCAGCCCTCTGCCTCTCTGCTGAGTCGCCCGCCTGGTCCGGCCAGGTGTGATCTCTGCACTCAATCATGTAACCTCGATCCTCCCCCCGCCCCAGTCTCTCAGGCTCTTCCCTAATAAACCTTGCTATTTTACCTCCCACTACTCTCTGTCTCATGCCTGAATTCTTTCTTACGCGAAGACAAGAACCCGGCAGTTTCTCCGGTAACACCCCCATGATGACACCACTTGAACACTGATCTCAGCCTGCAGCCCAGCCTTTGCCCTCAGTATCAAGCAGGAGACGGAGACGGAGAGGAAGAGGGAGTGCCCGGCCAAGGTCAGTTTCTGTAAGATACACCGCAGGGGAGATGATGAGCTCTGGCAGGAGGGCAGCACATGAGCCACTCCCCCCAGCCCAGGACCACTACCCAGAGGCCTTCACCTGATGCTCTTCACCAAGCACCAAGGATTTCTTCCTCAATAGAAATTATCCTGACGCTGTGGTGTCACTGTCTCACTTCTTGTTAACACACAGGTCATACCTCTTAGTTATTTCTACTGCTTTCAAACTAGTTTTCCATAAATATCTAAGCCATAAAACAACAGCTAACACAAAGTATACATGAGTGGCTGAAACTCCATGACCACTGCCTCTAGGGTCTGAGTCAGGAAGAAACCGGAAACAGGAGCTGCAGCCAGGTATCCAGCCAGGCATTCTGTGGACGCAGGTGTCTCAGCCTGCGTCTTAACTGCCTCCCAAATCCTCGCCCAACCCATCCCTTTTCTCAGAAGTAGAGTCTGATAAAAAAAAAAATTAATTGACCTTGACAGTGTTAGGATAAAGAGCTTATCTTCTCTGGGTTATCTTCTCCAGGAAACAGTGTTAAGAACTGTTTTCTAGTTTCTCCCTTTTTGAAAAATAAATGAAAACTGAGAAGACACATATATACATGTGTGCACACACATACACACACACGTACACACAGGGTCTGTTTCAACTTCATAAGTTTTCCTTGCCATCTGTAACCAGCATCAGCCTGGCTGGTGGGCTGAGCTGTGACCAGGCAACCTGCTGAGCAGAGCCCTGGTGGACACTCCTCCCTCTGGCTGCCATCTGCCCCTCAAGGGGGAGGAGTCTGCAGCCACCACCCCCAGTCCAGGCTGTCACCACCACAACTGATGTTTACAAGCAAATGTGGCTCAGGAACACCCGGATGCTCTCAGCCCAACAAAGGACCAGGTCTGCCCAGCCCCACCCAGAGGTCAGTGGCAGAGTCCTCGTGGCCTGGGACCCCTGCCCAACCCTGCTCAGAACAGGCATCCAGCTCATGTCCACACCTGAGGGACAGGTGAGGAGGTCTCCCTCCCCTGCAACCACTGAGATGCACGAGGGACCTCAAAACGTTCAAGGAAGATAGAATCAGAATATTGACTTACTTTGGTGCAAAAGTTTTATACTCTGATTTCTTTTTAAAAATTTACTTATTTATTTGAGAGGCAGAGTTACAGACAGAGAGAGGGAGAGGCAGAGAGAGCGGTCTTGCATCTGCTGGTTCACTCTCCAAATGGCCTCAACAGCCAGAGCTGTTCATCTCCTGCTGCTTTCCTAGGCGCACCAGCAGGGAGCTGGATAGAAGTGGAGCAGCCAGGACAGTGGTGCCCACGTGGGAGGCCAGGGCAACTGCTAGAGGATAACCCCTATGCCACAGCACCAGTCCCATCTGGCTTCTCAATATGCACTTTCCGTGTTTTTGCAGTCTTCCTGTATAAAGAATATTTTAAAAGAGATATCAAATGGAAAAGGGTGTTCTTACAGAAAATTTAATAAATTTTTGACTAATAAATCAGCAAAAAAATTAAAAATTTTAAAGTGGAAAGATGATGGCACAAGCAAAGAAAGAGCATAAAGGAAGGAGGCAACAGTGCCAACATCAAATATGGTTGCCGGTTGGAGTCCTGGCTGCTCCACTTCTGATCCAGCTCTCTGCTATGGTCTGGGAAAGCAGCAGATGTCCCAAGTCCTTGGGTCCGTGCACCAGCATGGGAACCCAGGAGAAGCTCCTGGCTCCTGGCTCCTGGCTCCTG